TGATGTGGGCCCTGAAGAAGCATCCACAATACCTCGACGGCGAATTCTTTGTAGAGACCGATCACATCGCACTTATATCCGCCCTTCAATCGCCCGCGACAGGTCATCGGAGTAATCGGTTGGCGAATTGGGCTTTAACCCTTAGCACGTATCTTCCGCGCATGCAAATCCGCTATCGCAAAGGCGCTTCCCATGACAACGTTGATGCTCTATCCCGATTACGCAGTCTCGAGGACGATTCTGAAGAGATCCCCCGAGATGATCAAGACAAGCTACGCCAGGTGCTCGCCCAGCAGGCGGAAGGAACCACAGATGAGTTCGTCGCTGCTATATCCGACGTGGGCGTAGCCCTCTCGAACGATATCAAAGACCAATTGCGTAAGGACCTACCGGCTGATCCAGCCTTGGGGAAGGTCTATCGTAAGGTAGCGCGAGAGGGAAAATATCATTCGTTTACGCTTCACGACGGTCTCTTGTTTTTCACCAACGATCGCCTCTGCATCACGCAAACCCTAGCCGAAAGCCTTATTCGCTTGTGTCATGACGCAGCCGGACATCCAGGGCTTCATCGGACGGAAGACATTGTTCGCCGATCCTTCTTCTTGCCTCACGCTCGCAGACGAATCCTCGATCGCATTTCACGATGCCCGAATTGCCAGCTGTCTAAGCCACCCAACCACGCTCAGTGGGGCAAATCACACCCCATCTCGTCCCCGAAAGAGCCGTTCGAGGTCCTCTCGATAGATTTCATTACCGGACTGCCCGTAAGCGACAGCCGTGACACTATATTGACAGTCACGGACAAATTCTCCAAAGCCGTGATTCTAGTCGCAGGGCAAGAGAAGTGGGACGCGCCGCGGTGGGCGGAAGCGTTCTATAAGGAGGTGATCTGCCGCTGGCAGCCCCCGCTGGCGATTATCTCAGACAGGGACCCCAAATTCACGTCGCAATTTTGGAAGTGCGTTCTTCGGTTGATGGGAGTCAAGAGCTGGATGACGACCGCCTACAATCCTCGCTCAAACGGCCAAAGTGAACGAACCAATCTCACTGTCGAAGTCACCTTGCGAGCGCTTCTCATAGGCAAGTATGAAGCGGGCTGGAACGCCCTGCTCAACCAGGTGGAAAGAACGTTAAATTCGGTAGCTGCCCACCCGGCAGCGATCTCTCCTTTCGAGTTACTCACGGGCGTGAAACCAAGGTGGCTACCATTAAAGAACGAGGAAGCTCCGGCGGACGTAGCTGAGTTCATCGCCGCACGGGACGCAGTGCGGCGGGACGTCCTGGATTTGTACGCTCTCGCAAAAGCCAAGATGGCCGAGTCCTTCGACCGCTCCCACTCTCAGCCAATCATTCGGGTAGGCGACTTCGCGTTCCTGAACCTGGCCCGCAAAAACGAGAAAGGGTATGTCGTTCGAGGATCCTCCAAACTTTCGCCCCTGCGAATAGGCCCATTCAAGGTCGTCGAGAAGATCTCGGATGTCGCCTTCCGCCTACAGCTTCCCCCCAAATGGCGTATGCACCCCGTTATTTCCGTCATTCATTTGGAAAAGACGCTCTTACGTCCCGCAGACCTCGAACACCCGCCACCCGAACCAGTCATGGTAGATGGTCAGCCACAATTTGAGATCGAAAAGATCATCGGAAGACGCATGGAGAGCGGCGAGACCTACCTCCAGATCAAGTGGAAAGGATACGAAGACCCAACCTGGGAATCTCTCGACGTGATCGCAGAGGATACCCCGGACCTTGTCAAAGCCTTCATGGCCAAGAAGCCGCGCGGTCGACCGCGTAAAAAGTAAGAAGAATGCGAGAGAGAAAGGAGTGAGAAGGAGAAAGAAAATTCATTACCAACCTATTTTTAGCTACCCGATCGCGCGAA